ATCTGGTTTCAATAAATTAGCAGGCACACACGAGTGGGGTTTTAGGTAGAATTGCACTTTGGTGAACTTAGTAGTGCAGTTATCCTCGATATTGGAAATAACCCAAGTTGGCACAGTTTCATTCAGCAAGGCGGTTTCTGTTTCTCCGGGAGTGTCGCCAACTAAAACTCTGTAAAGCGTTCTGCCGCCTATTTCACTGAAAAAATGTTATTTATTAATAAAAGTTTTGCATGTTTCTTGGAAAGTCCCTGCCTTAGAATTAAAGGAATGTATTTTGGAACAGTGAAGTGAAGTCGGCTCTCCTGATCAGGCTGCAGCCCTCGATAATGCTCAAACAAGGCATGCAGAAGCAACTTTCCATAATTCACTTTGTGATCTGGCTCCGGATGGTCAATGCCGGCATCCTTGGCAGAAACCCACGCAGCAAAACAGTCGACTTCGTCTTGCCCCAAATGAATCGTCAACATCTAACGAACACTTAACATAAAACAACGGCTGATTGAATAGGCGAGTTGAACTCACCCCTGTTTTCAGATCTGTGGTAAACCAATTGGGCACATATAGCAACTTTCCCGAATTCCTCACATTGATTTCGTTCTGGTAGTTGACTGGGCCTAAACTTTCCACCTTGATGGCCTACAATAACAGATAAATTTTTGTTCATTTTGCCCCTTATAGGCACAAAATTGCTTACCCGCAGCACGTCGTATAAAAATACATTCCCATTGGAATCTTTGGTCAGAATGTGCCTTTTGTCGTTCAAAATGGTCGCTTTCACAGTCGAAGCGTCACCAGGTATAACAGAAATTGGTTGTCGTGAAAGGGGAATATCGTCACTAAAATGTTTCTCACTTGGCAATTTCCAGCATCGTACCGTTGAATCTGATGTGGACACCTATTGAAATTAATTGCTGCAATAAATTGCTTGAGCACGGTTTTCTCCTATTTACCCAAATTCCTTGCTGATCAGCTGTAAAGCACATTTTTAACACGGGGGCCTCCTCAGTGCAAACCAACACAGAATTCTGGACGTTTTTCAGATCAGTCATTATGACCTAAAACCAAAATATATATAGAAATCAAAGCTTAAATGTGGTATTTGATTGCTCACTTTTTTATCCCGTCCGCCAGATATTAAATAGGTAAAATTTTCCGTTGCTAAGAGCGCCCAAACTGCTTCTGTATGCAGCAATATTGTTTGTATGCATCTAAAAGCGAATAATTTATTTTCCTGTTTCGAGAGTAAAATAAAGCCTACCTTTGCTGTCCAATGTTCCAAATTTTAATCGAACCATCACTGCTTCCTGAGATACACTGCGTTCCATCTCTTGATACCACCAAAGCCTT